TCTTCTATAGTCGTCAGAGAAAAGGAGGGTGTAACTAAAGAGCACTTGGCAATAGATTGAATGGTGGTGGCAGGAAGTCAAAAGTGCCTGAGTCTTTAAGCCCCAAGAGAAGTGGAGATTTGAAGTGGCCATTCACAGAATTGGATATAAAGGGTGAAGGACACATTTGGGAGAAGAAATTTTGAGTGGGAGTTTCTGAGCTCCTGGGACTGATGAGACATCCATGTGAATATGTCGAGAACTCATCAGAGGCACAGCAAAATTTGTTCTTAACCCAAGAGGTACGAAGCACATGCCAACAGTAATGGGTTTGCGAGGCCCTTACCAAGTGCCTTTGTGACCGACAGTTGTTAGCCCCCATTAACTCCAACATACCACTTAAAGCAAGTGTCCAGCACAGCATCATATGATGGCTGTGGTGGGAAAAAGTTACAAAACCAAATTTCAAAAAAAAAAAAATCCTTTCCCCTTATCTAGGAACTTGAAGTCTTCTATTTCACACATATGAAATCAGCAAAATCAAGAGCACTTGCTCTCAATCAGTGCGTAACCCATTACCATGAACTAACTGTAGGCCAAGTCCAGTTCCTTGTGGTTGTAGGACTGAGTGTCCTATTTCATTAGTGACTGCCAAACGGGGACCACTCCCAGCTCCCAGAGGCTACCCCCATTCTTTGCTATGTGACCTACTCTCTTTAGTCACAAACACAGTATTTCTCTCTCATTTGCTCCTCCTCACATTTTGAACATTTTTCTTCAGGGAGGACCCAGAGGACTTTCTCTAGCTTATCTGATTAGATCAGACCCAACCTTGATACTCTCTATACCTTAAAAATCATCTAACATCTTTAATTCCAGCACTGAACTCTGTGAGTTCCAGGCCAGCCTGGTCTACAGAGTGAGTGCCAGGATACGCTCCAAAGCTACATAGAGAAACCCTGTCTGGAAAACAACAACAACAACAAAAAATCCTCTAACTTCAGGTTCTAGATACTCTTTTCAGAGGGCTGGAGTATTATAGCTCAGTCATTGAGTACTTGCCTAGCATGTGTAAGACTCTGTGTCCCATCCCCAGTACCGAAAGGAAGGAAGAAAGAAAGAAAGAAAGAAAGAAAGAAAGAAAGAAAGAATTTGTTCCATTTCTTCACTGAAGAATCTGGATTAAATGTTTGCTTTAATAGCCAGACAAAGATATGTGGTTGCAACAAGGACCAAGAGTCTTTGTAAAGAGTGGCATTATGCAACCCTACCTTCCACAGCAAGAGTGGGATCTCTACTAGATTCCTGGGAATCCCTCTATGTTGAGAAATTGCACCACCATAGGGCCATTAGTCTAGTGGGGTCAAGAGAAGCTTCCTAAAACAAGCCCATTTCAGTTTTGTTGTAAAAGAGACAAAATTCAAACTGTTTATATGAGGATGCCAATGTAAACAAGTGCACGGAGCACAACTACCTTCTGGAGACATGGGCAGCCTGGCTTGGTTAGTAAAAGAGGTTTGAGTGTTCCATTTGTTGTTGTTTACAGCAGGAGGCAAGACAAGGTATTACTCTACAGCCTGGGTGATCTTTGAAATCGCTGTGTTACATAGCCTTGGCTAGTGTCAGGCTCAGGACAGTCTTTGTGTTTTAACGTGTTGGGTGCTGAGATTACAGGTGTGAACCATCATACCTAGCATGGGAGAGGTTCTTCACAGAGAAATAATGAAACCTCAGCTTGGAATGTCAAGAGTGACAAAGTTAATTAAATGCCCTTAGATGCAAGGATGGGGGATTTCGGCTCCATAGGCAGCCTTTGTGAGTGTTTGAGCACAAGAGAGAAAGAGGTACAGAATATACACTATTGAGAAGCACCATGCAAGCTGGGCACGGTGAATAATGTCTGATAATGCAGCATTGAGGAGGCTGAGGCAGAAGGAGTGCAAGTTCAAAGCCAGCCTGGGTTACATTGTGAGATTAGGAAGAAGAGAGAAAAGGGGGTGACGGGAAAGGGGAAGGAGAGAGGGAAAAGCTGGGGAGTTCTCCTGAGGGTCTAGGAAAGGGATACTTTATTGACTGGATATTAGGCATCTGAAAGTAATTAATTACAAGACACAGTAGAAATGTTTAAATTTTCTGTGGGCTTGTCTATTTTTTTTTAAGTTCCTCCTTTTCCTTTCTTGGACTATATAATCGATACAACTCCAAGGGCCTGAACCAAAGTAGTTTTCATGCCCAAGACACCTGCCTGGGAAAAATGTCCTCCAGCTGAGAAACTGAATTGCGTCCTGAGAACGCTGTGTCCCCCATACTCCTCATCAAAGCCAGGTTGTCATAGCAAGTAGCAACACAGATTTTTTCCAGCACAGATGATTATCAGGATAGAACAAGTTGCTACAGTAGAGTTAGCCAAGCATTCTTTCACCCCCATCTCACCTCGTCATTCACTCATTCTCATGGACAGAACCATTGTCAGTTCCGTGACTTTCATCCGAGATGGCAGTTGAGTGTTTCTGATTTGCCCTGCCAGCTGCAATTCTACAGCTTAGCAGTTAAATTTCTTAGTGCTCAGGACTGAGACTGAAAGTATTCCAAATGAGAAGCACTACCCTTCATA